CCCCAAAACCCCAAAACCCCAAAACCCCAAAACCCCAAAACCCCATAAAATAACCATCTTTTAGTATTCGGAAATATGTAAATATTTATTCGATAAATTTAAAGTTAGAGAGAATGCCTCTGGCTTCTTCCTCTAGGGAGTCTAGCTCAGAATTCACTTCTTCAGAGTAGAGTACTGGCTTTCCCTTAAGTTTCTCTTTTAGAAAATTAGATTTCCCCTTTTCTAAAAATTTGAGCATCATTATCGAAAAGAATGGGTTTGACATCAACTCTACTCTGAGCTCAGTGGTATAAGAGTACAGCACGCCTCTTATTACGGAGAAGTTTACTCCTTCTAAGAAGTCGTCAGTCTTCTTGTATCGATGGGAGAATAGCACACTGTATAGAGTATTTCGGAACTCAGTCCATTCTTCGAGACCCAGAGTATCAACAAATTTGCCGAACTCGTTACGAGCAAATTCTTTAATAAGCTCATGCATTGGGGTCTTTTTCTTCTTATTGACTCTTCTTCTTTGCCACGATATATTGATCTTGCTAAACCTTTTCTTATAGAATTCACTAAGACCTCTGAAACAAGCTCTACGGACAAGAAAGTTGTTCCATTCAAAGTCATCTTTTTGAGCTTCTTGTCCTTCTTGCACTTTAGACAAGTTCAAAGTACGTTTCTTCTCTTGAGCTGGCTCTTGGAGAAATTTGGAAGATTTCTCAGATTCATTTGATTCAGAAAATTTCAAGATAATTGCTTCTTGGTGTTTTGAGACTAAATAGTCCTTGGTTTCTTCTTTATGATCCATTCTTACATTCTTTTTGGTATCCAACTTTGCAGGAGATTCCTCTTTACCAAATCTTATAATAGGAATTGGAGGAAGATCAGGCTCTATAACCTGCTGAAGATCTGGAATACTCTGAAAATCTTTGTTCGTTAAACACGGCTTTGTGTTATTGCCAAAATTTTCGTACTCCTTTTCTGATTCACAAAAGAACTCAAGAGGGTCGAAAGCTTCGCCCATATTAGCATTCGTTGGTGATGCCTTATTCAGTTGAGCTTGATAGTCCTTTTCTGAAATTTTTTCATTCAAATTTATTTGTTCTTGGAATGCCTTTCCAGATAATTTTTCGAACGATCACCTATTGTCACAAATGAGCAAAGTCGTATATTTGAGATTAATAATGTAAGAATTAGTCCAAAACCTTAGTGTTTCAAAGACATCGGACAAGATCCAAACTGAAGATTTTTTAGGACCCAAAGGTGATACGCACCACCTTTGGTAACCAAAAATAGGAAAATTATACACATTTTCACTATTAGCTATCATTTAGGATAAAAAATTGTTCAAAATTTGTAAAGGAACAGTTTGCTCGCAACATCAAAGAATTATGTCATTAGAAGTGACGAAAATATTTGCTCACCATAATGTAAGATTAGATTCAGAATGACAAGTTATTCGGAGGGTTTGGGTGAATAGGGATGTTAAAAAGAATTAGAATTAATATAATGATTTACAGAGAGCTCACATTTCGTGTCGACACAGTATCTGGGTAACCTGAAAGCAGAAAACAGAGGAGCTACTAATTGTAACCAAGTACTAACCCTGCTTTACAAGGGAAAGACCAAAAGAACTAAGCTTAATTTGAGAACTTACATTATTTCCTCGTTATTATATTGCGGATAAGAATGCTCAACAACTCCATAATTATTGAGGATCTTTGGTGCAAAAGTTTCCTCTCTAATTCTGTACTTATCTATTAACTCATAGCTCCCAGAAAAAGGGTGTATGAAAGGATTTGAATTCTTTCCTCATTCCTAGACCATTGTAAGATAACAGAGAGACATTAATACTTAAAATTTGCTGAAGAAGAGCTTAGAAATTTACTTACAAAGATTGAAAATTGTTCTTTCTTATCCATTGCTCTTTTGTCTCTTGTAATTTATTTTTAATAATCCTCTAACATTCACATATATCAATAAAAGCTCCAAAAACCGGGGTTTTGGGGTTTTGGGGTTTTGGGGTTTTGGGG